GTTCTATTATCTTAATATTAAAATAACTTTTAATACGTGTAATTACTTGAAATCAAATAAATACGTTAGAAATTTACCACCTTATTTCATATAGTTCTACTAGCTGATCCGGCAAACGTTGTATAGCAACAAAAAAAATAATTAGGGATGGGTCACCCTTACCATTCAAAATTGTGAATCTAAACCATTCCCAGATCCCCTTGAACACACAAAAAATTTCATCAAAATCGGTCCAGTCGTTTGAGAGAAGTTCAGTGACATACACACTCGTATATATAAAGATTAATTATCCTATTGATCTCTAACCCATCAATATTACTCAATTTCATACTCAATAATACCGTGTAGGTTTTATTTTTAAATAAAATCCACCGTGTCAAGGCAGTTAATAAACGCATGTGTCTGCGTCTGTAGGCGTCGCAGTCATTATTAAACCGTTAGTGTTTGTAACTCCCTGAATAGAACTGTTCTAGTTAGTCAAAGTTAACTTAGTCTTTTATTTAGAATAATATAAACTACAGATTGCATGGTGGGCTAATTTCTACAATAATTCATTATTTTTTATTTATTTCATATGCTAGTGTAACTTGAACTGTCACTGTATGAATAACTTTCCGTACCGTGACAGGTCAACGTAAACGTAATATATGCTGGATGCGTGTATCATGAGAGACGCATTGCTTAGAAACTATGGCTACTCCATTATATCCATATTTTATATATCAGAGAAATGGAAAAACCAAAGTTTTTAAGTATCTATTCAATAACTACCAAAATTCCCGAAATGATTCTTAAGAATAAATATATACAGAAGTGGTATTTATTACATCAGAGGAAACTGTCTATTGATAACGCCAAGGATTTGTAATTCGTGAATCGTAAATGCTTTTCATAGTCTTTCATAAGACGGTGACGCCTCCGGTTAAGACTAGATTAATGGTGTCAAGTATTTTCTATGAATATTTATACATGTACCTATATAAAAGGTGAAAATTCAAACGGTTACAAGACATAATATTGTACGCGTAAATATAACTTGAGTTAGAAAGTAGTAGTAGAAGTAATAAGTATATATATACATATACAATACTTTTCAGTATACCTAGACATATATCCACTATTAATTTGTGTGATGATATTATATCCAGGCGTGTCTAATATTGCTGCGGCCTTGTCCTTAGTTACTGAAAAATTTAGTACAAACTATTCGTAGATCTTTATGTCGCTAAGCGCACAATCCATGAGTACTTAAATAAATCCGTACCGCAAAATCTTAATGGTTTTTTCTACGATAGAGGTTGAACAGATTTATTGTTTACATCGTTTTATTTGCGGTCATTGTGGCAGATCTTTCTAATCGCGTTTGGCTTCAGTAATACCCGCGCCTCGGTGCCGCTCGACTGTCGCTTTAGTGCGCGAAAGAAAACGCCGATGAAGAAAATATTCTGTGATAAAAAATTCCTATGTGCGTGTTGTGAAGTTTCAGTATTTTGAACAAGTTTCATTAAAAAAAACAGAAAAACAACTGGAATGTTAGCTGAGCGAATTCTTGTCACTTACCGCGATTTGCTTGTAATTTCAGTTATCGTTATATGATATCAACCACGGGAATGCTGTAACAGACAATGTTTTAAAAACTTGTAAAGTCTGGTATTCATTATGTTTTAATTGATAAAGTTAAAAAATACACCAGATGAAGGCGTTTCGAAGCAAAAGGAAACGGATAAACGCTTAGGCAATGACCTAGTATATTTAGTACTTATTTGTACATGCCGACATGATTTATCACCTTCTATTTATCTGGCAAGAAAAACGTAAAACAGTTTAGTTATTCGCATGTCTTTTTTACCTTCATATTAGGTCGATTCGATTCGATTAGTCGAGTAAAGTTCAGACATAAATGTGTAAAGGTTTCAAATTAACACAGCAGATAAGTAAAGCCATGTACGATGTATGCAACGCTATATTTGCATAACAATTTCGCGATTCGCCTTGAGGCTGTTTGCCTCAGAACGTACATAGATTACCACTCTGGTCATTTATGAATGTAAAATGTTAGCCGTTGACAGAGATTAATCAAAGGGGCCAATTTAAATACTTTTTGTATCTTACAAAACATATTTGCAATAAACTGTATTTAAATGTAAAACAATATATTAACAGTTACCATAAAATTAAATTAAATCAGCACACGATCAATTTCAATATTAATTTAACAAAATCTGCGCTTATTTATATTGACTGTTTGTGATTACGAAAGCATCGCTTTCGTAAAAGAAAAACAGAAAAAAATCGAAAAAACATGACAATTTTATGACTTCGTTTAAGTTTATAGATGTTATAATTGAAATAAAATTAACGAGTTTTTCACTAATTATTCAGAACTGAATGATAATCAAAAGAGAAAATAAGCATAATAAATCGTTAAAATTAACATTTTTATTGTTCTCAATGATTGCGGTGTACGTATTTCATGAACTGATGTACAAAAGCCTTTATTGAGTCAACGTGGTCCATTTAGCATTCGGTACACACGTCACAGACCATAAAGGGCTGCATTTCCGTTGGCTTACGCCGCGTAAGGACATGGACAAATCAGTCAACTTAGATAATAACTTCATGAATAATCATTAGGGAGCATAGAGGCTTTGGACCTTAATTGTAGTGACTTACAACTGTACTTCATACATTTTTTATAAATTAGTATACATATAAATAACGTGCTGTGATACAGGTTTTGATATATCTTAAGCAGCCAATATCATTTTTCTGTAATGTTCAAGTTAGGCTTCCCCGAAGGTAAAATGATCGCGTGCGCAGTCGACTGGTGTTAAACACATTCTTAGAACACAAACCGTTTGGTCACGCGTGTTTCTAAAACAGGGATTTGGGGACTACTACGTACGTACGTAGCTATTTAGTGGCCTTTCTGTAGGTGTCTGATATGGTTTTAATGATTAAATTAATCTAAATTTAAAACAAGAATCAAAATGTGTGCAACGCAATATTAAAAGAAAAGTGTATTGTGTTTCTACTCCAAGTTTAGATCTTTTATGTTTGAACGTAAGTTTAAATGCCATTGTTTCTTTTGGCTATAGGACGTTACATCTGGTGCAAAGCACGTGAGTATCAGACTATGTTTAGTCAGTGGTGCGCGAAGGCCAAGGCTTCATACGCGCCACTGACCTACCCTATAGCTTCTAAACACCAAACGCTATCGCAGCTTCAACGCTCTAGTTGTTTTTTTTTCCGCGTATAAAATCAACCGAATAGATTATTATTCATATAGTATTCAAGAATGTGCTCGTTTCACGATTTCATCACAAGAAATGAGTGAAATCGATTGTTAAGTGATAGTGGTAAGAAAAATTATGATGTGAAAAGTGTTGAATGTCAGATGGCATACTGGATTCATAATGGATGTTGGGACCACGGATCCCGTTCCTCCACCGAGACTAAAAAAACTGGCCAGATTGGCGGCTACGAGACAACAAGAGCGGAAGTCTGTCACATGGGTACGACGAATCTCTTTAGTCACCTTTACTCAGATTAGCATTTGAACCTGTTCCCTTTTTTTCTATTTCCTCCTTTAATGACACCTTACAGACTCGTAATTTTTTTAGCAGCATTTAGGTAAACCATTTCTTTAACGATAACTAATGAATCATAAAAAGAATATCAAACAATGTAAAGCAGAGGTCTACTGCATTTCGCGTGCCTGAAGGCCAGTCTTTATGCGCTGAATAATATAATCCTCCTTAGGAAAAAAAGTCTTTTGAGATTTTGGCTCATGAAGACAAACGTGCACAAATAAAATCGCTTTTGACACGAGAATACGTTGAGAGTGGAACAAAGGAATACGATTGTACAGACAAAGCAGTAGAGCAATACAAGTACAAGTGTGGAGAATTCACTACTTTGAGTGGAGGGGATTTGCGGCGTGGGAACTTCGAATGTTCCTGTTTATTATCTTAATATAATAAAAGTTCATACAGTTCGTGAAACTAACACAATTGTTCATTTTCGCAGATTGTGACAGTTACTTCTCTTTATTTTCTGTTTAAACCTTTACGCTATGTACTGTCGAGAAATGTTAAATTTAATATACTCGTATATGTATTTTACAAGATAGATAGATGGTATTGCTACTTGATCGAAGATTGTTACTTAAACATTGTCTTAGTGCATAGTTGTGTGTATATGTAGTTAGGTAAATATTTATGTATTATTGTATTCCTTTTTGTAAATTATACACAAAGTAATACACTAAAGTGCTTTCATTATAATATATAATTAGACAACATTTAAAAAAATATTATGTTGGTTTGTGTACACTTCAAAAATTCAAAAAGGTCTGCACCAATTGCGCTTCAATTTGTACACGATATAAAAACCGCTTTAAAGATTGTTTTTCCCGTCATTTGGACCCCATTTCTCATAAATGCAACCACAATGTGCCACAGCGAAGTCAGGGTATAGCTAGAATATAATACTTTATTTTATTTTATTTAGTATCGGCGGAAGAATTTTAGTAGAAGACGTTTTAACATGTCCTGTAATGCTAGCGAATTCTGTTATACATATATGTTTATCCTGAGGATTGCGATGTTTACACATTCTTGAAATAATAATTGCGATACTAACTTAACACTAAACTCGACATGGTGATAGCTCGTTAGTCCCACCATAATTTTAATGTCAGTTAAAAAATGTTTAGTGGTACACCTACTCAATGATTAGAAGTTTGTAGAGATAGATAAATGACATGTTCGTACGAACATGTAATTTATCACATAGACACTAGTAATAATATTATTGCATTCATAATGTACTGAACTAATTTTGATGCATCTTTTTGTAGGGTGCACATCATCATTGTAATAGCAGCAGGCGTATTAATATTCAAAACTCATCTTAAAAATGTTAAATCTTATCTTAACCCTTAAATAAGAACCAAAAAATATTTCAAACATGACTCATGAATCTTTTTTTGTTATCAGGGTCCAGAAACATGGGTTGGTGTAAGAGCTTTGCGTGCCAGTTCAGGCGGTATCCTGGATCCGGACGACCGAGTGCGCGATGTTGCGGATGATCGAGAAACTCTTACTGCAGAGTGCACCAGTCAAGCGCCGCAGCCGCGCGCTGCGCAGGCAGATGGCGCTAGCGGTTCATCTGCTGGCACCGCCTCTCCTGATATGTTTAGGGTAAGTAGTACACATTACTTAGTAGTAGTAGTAGTAGTTATCTATGTATGTGGTAGTCATAGATATTCTTTCCATGAGGGTCTAATGGGCGAGCACAAGTAGGTACCACATTTATGACGTAATTTGAGATGAATGCATTAAAAACCAAAGCTGATTATTGGTACGCAATGACCACCACCATTCTTACTGAAGTACAATAGACCATTAGTAACACGTATTTAGGTAGAATGTAGGTATATCAAATTCTCACGATGAATGCATCTATTCTCACTACGTATAAGATTAGTTGCATTATACAATGCTACTTACATAATGACTCGCAAAATCTTTAACATATTTATGTAAATATAATATAATTTCTAAAATGGTTTAATTAACTAGGCCGAATCATGGGGTTCTCTTGCCTCCGAGGTTCATTAGATGTGTAAAGGCGTGCAAGAATTCGTGAGATCATAATGTAGAAATCATGTCGCATCTTGTATTTAGAATTTATAATAAATATTTTGAATTATATTTCATAACATTAAATTTGGTCATATTGTGAATATATTAGTAACATATTACACATATTTAAGCAGTTCAAAGATGTAAAATTTTTGTGATGCATGCATTTATTCTCCCTATCTATAATAGGTCAGATAATTCACAGAGATAGTACTACTAATACACAAAGCTACTAATGTATATTATAATTAAAAATTATAATGACCTGCAAAATATAACATTATGGTAACAATGTTATGTAAGTATATATTTTCATCCAAGACCGAATCAAGCGATACCTTTGCCTCTTTCTAAAAAAATCTTGAAAGCCGGGAAGCCGGGAATGAATAAAGTCAATGAATAAAAGTATAAAAATCATGTTAAAACCTGTATTGAAAGTTTGTAGAATTATATTGTTCAAAATCAAATCAAGTCATATCGTGACATGACGTTGACCAGAAAACATATTAAAATTAGTTTATCGCTTAAGTCTTAACTCAGCATGGGTTTGTGTTTTACGCAATGTTTTTGTTCAGTGAACCCTAAAAAGGTAAGCTTTTATTACAATAAAATACCTACCTACGAGGAATATTTAAAGAAATACCTAATACATAGGTATGTTAGTTTGTAAATGTTGTTAGTCGTTTAAAATACATAAATTAATTTATTTTATGTGAGTAATATTATCATAATCAAACAAACTAGCAGAATAAATTCAAACGAACTCGAAAATTTCGAATACTAACATTCAAACATTCTGACGACGAGTTTTATACATGTTTGTCTGAAACTACGTCTTATCAGTCAAAATGTCAACAACATTTACAAGTAAAATACCGAACTGTGGTGTAAAAGGGTGTAAAAATCAAACAACAAGATAGATAGTAGAATGTAATCGCATTTCACACATAAGTAAGCGTAGAAACCAATATATTTAAAGAAATAAAATTATGATGGCCTACGCACACGTTTATAAAACCGGCGTCACTTAGTTTTTCGTAAAGTTTATTTATGTTGCTGTCTTGATATAATTTATACATCATTCAACAGCCTACTTTAACATCCCGAGTTTTATCTGTAACTTAACAAGGGGATCTGAATTATAATAATATTGTTACGTATGCCTTGATTTGTGCAGAAGTGCAGATGTTCTAGATTCCCTACATACTATGTAGTTAATACATATCTTTCAAATAATGTTTTTCTTTTCAAATATGTAGTTGCAATGGCCCCAAACACACTCTTTCTCTGTATAATTAGTAATTATATATAATAATAGTCTGGTCTAATACATTTCTAATTTCCTTTTCCTAAGCAAATTTTCTTTATTGTCATTGTGTAGTTTGTGTTTTACCGCCAGCTGTAGACGAGTAGGTACTGTTTTGATTTTATGAATGTCGTTATTGCCCCAATAACCGATAATCTAATCCAATTAACTTGGGTCAACCTACAAAGTACTGCCAAGTTATTCATACTACTACAACATACTATATAAGTCAACAGAGTTCTAAAGCGTGTGAAATCTCTAGCGTTACCTGTGTTTATAAAAACTGGCAACCGCTTACCATACCAGTACAGTCCACCTGCTTTTTTGCTACTTTATCATGTTCTAATCCATGTCCAATCCATGGCCCTTATCATATGAGTCCTCCCTGTGTGAATGTTTTCGGTTCCACGTTATAACGGTTATACTGCACATATTTAAAAAGATAAATTTGCTAGTATACTTGTGGGCGAATTCAATACATCATCCAGGTATTTTATACTGATTCATTCATTAAACAACAAGATCGTTCTTTACGCATCGTTAAATTTTTAGTTTACCACAAGTGCTTTATGTGTATGTATTTTATTGAATAATAATGCAGAAAAAACTAATTAAGCATTTCTATATTGATTATTCGTCCACATGTGATGACAGACATGTTGAAGGCAGTCTGACCAATTATAATACGAATACTTACTCCGAAGTTCACTGGTCACACGGACAATCCAATATGGATTGTTCATAACAGTGTTCTATAGCTGCTTGTTAATTCGCCATTATTCATGTTATTGTTTGTCTATTAATAATAGCCGACCGATGTAGTCGGAACTTAGCAAATTTGATTGCCTCAATCTAGACATGCGACTTGTTTTAGTTGTGTAAACGTGTCTGGTTGAATCCTTTTAAGTTCACTGAGGCATACAAAATTTAAAACTATTTTCACGTGTTTGCGCCACCCTACGTACTTGAAGTTAAGTAAGAAAAAAAGCAAATGTACTTATGTACGCGGTTTAGTGTATATTATTTTCACTTGACAACAAGGCGGCAGTCGACTATAGTGTCAGTCAATTTTCAGAGGTCCACGCCGATATTCTAGTAGATTGGTTTTATCTATATTTCTATACTAAAACTAAAGAGGTTTGTCTGTCTGTTTGTTTCTGGAATTGTTAGTTATTTTTAATGTTTTCTTGTAATGTATGGAATATTAATTCACAAAATAGTGAATATAAAATAACGTCATTAATATACTTTTTTTTACTGAAAACCCTATTCCAACGATACAAAATATTATGTAGTTACACTGATAATTGCAAATTAACAACACAATACGTAGTTTTATGATATTTTATAGCTATTATTAAACAGACGGCTTACGGTAACTGTTTTATTATTTATCATAATATAATTTTGATACACAAATAACTCTGTGATGAACACGATCATTTGTTCTGAGTCTGGGCGTAATTTATCTATAACTAGCTGACCCGCGCAACTTCGTCTGCGTCTCTCAATAGTAATAAATTTTCTCCGTTTTTGAAACATTCTTCATTGGTGCTCCGCTCCTATTGCTCTTAGCATGATGATATATAGCCTATAGCCTTCCTCGATAAATGGGCTATCTAACACTGAAAGAATTTTTCAAATCGGACCAGTAGTTCCTGAGATTAGCGCGTTCAAACAAACAAACAAACTCTTCAGCTTTATAATATTAGTATAGATATGTATGTATTTAGAAATATATAGGATGTTTATTAGCAGTCTGATTACCATAGTACAGGCTCTGTCTAGTTTGAAATCAGTCGGCTGTGTGTAAGATCCGTAAGGTTTAATAAAAAATAAACAAAAATGTACATATAAAATTCAATATATATTTATTCGATATTCAAACAATGTGATTTTTTTTTGTAAAGTAATTTAAATACATAGTCAGGTCTAGGGCAATAAAAGCTGGGAGAAACATGATCAATTTTTGATTTCCACATTCCAGGGTGGTGGCGGCGTCGGGGGCAGCATGAGGGTGCCAGATACCGATTCTTGTGTGGAGGTGGGTGCAGCTGATCTTGAAGATGGTGCCAACGGGTTACAAGTCAGAAGAGGCAGTGAACCTACCTTACACCAAGACACCTTACCACCTCAGAGACAAGTACGAACTTGTTGAATATTTGAAACTTTGTTACCCCAATTCACTCTAACTGTTATATTACGTGCATGATTAAATTCGTGTTTAAACATTTTAAATGAGTGACGTACTCTTTATATGTATATGTATAAGCGACTCGATTCAAAAGTATTCTGAGTTCTGTTTGACCGGTGTTTTCCTGTACACTGATGTCGGGGAGAACCTAATATGTTTGGAAATGTGTATTCTCGGGTGGCGTATGTACATAATGACACCTTCTCTCAACTTTTAAGAAGAATTTAACTAATAATGAGTCATTTGCTGTAAATTCATCCTATTTTGAAATTCAAAAAGCACAAAGTAACGTGATCATAATATTCTATTCAAGGTGTCAGAACAGACGAAGCGCTGGTCAGCTGCTGTGGTATGTCGTGATGACAACACCAGAGTCACGCAGAAGGTGCACCCTCTAGACGGGCGGCCGCCTGATCCTCCAGCGCCAGATAGACACGGCCACTCTGGACAGCACTTCCAAAGACAATCCAACAGATTGTCAATGCAGTTTTCGGGACCTGGGTACGTTTAATTATTCTGTTTATTTTTTACTGCGTGCTGTTCTATGACTCGTATCGTGATTCATATATTCGTGATAGCTTCCGTAATTCTGTAAAGACGGGAACAAATATGCTTATAAGCTTCTGTATTGGTTGTTCTCAGGAGCGGTATATGGTTGGATGCAGCGGAACGGGTACAAAGTTATGGCAGCAAAAGTCTTCCAAGAGACGCGCGGAGGGAGCCTCTTGGTCAGGATACACCTGTCAACCATCAGAACCACAGGTACATTTTTAGTTTTTCAATAAACTTTTTTTATTTAAAATTAACAAGCTGGTGGGTAAGATTAAATAATTATTTTCAAGTAATTTGGCATGATAAATATGTCCGGTATTTACAGTAACAACCTTGTATTTAAAGATTATAGATTCGACCAATTATTAACTGAGTGAGTTAGTTTCACCTTTACTGACAAGATAGATATCTATTTGACGCATCTCTACTTTTAGCTTTTTATTGATGTATTTTTGTACGTCTTTACAGGGTAGAGGATATGCTGAGATGGGTGTCCGGTGTCAACAACGTAGCAAGCGTGCATCCTGTACAGGAACGTCCACTTGATCTCTTACCAGAAGGTAATCCAAATATTATTAAAATATCTACATTTAAATAAACCAAGGAAAAACGGTTTTTTTTTCTCTTCCATATGCTAATTGATTTAATATTTTAAAGGAACTTTTGTGCTCATTAAAAAAATGTTGAGAAAGTGGTTTTTGTTCACTAACGTTGATGGGCTCAGATATAACTTCCCGGCACTAGAGTATGCAATGCTGATCTGCTCGGACTTTCGTTTACTCTTCTCTAACGTACGTAATCCGTACGAGCCAAATCTCTTTTTTCCATTGGTTTCTTAACTACTTTTAATTGATTGATTAACGAAATACCTTAAATTTTCCTGTTTTTAATACCTAAAGTGTGTCGATGGCAATATGCCTAATACGCGAGTGGAAACAAATTATATGTAGCGTAACGTGGGTTTTCAAAACATAATGAATTAAAGTCAAATTTCAATCGATTAAAAGTTACGCACGGACATTATTTTAACAGACAAATGAAAATTGTGATCGTTACGTCTGTATTCAGTATTCTTTATACGGTTTGTTTTTCTATTTGTAGTGGGTAGCAGCGAGCGCGCGATCTCGGATGTGGAGGTGCCCGTGACGCCCAGCGCCAAGCACGCGCCCGCCGGCACCACCCACGTGTGCGTGGCGCTCGTCAAGGGCGAGAAGGGGCTCGGCTTCACCATCACCACCAGGGACAACCCCACGGGCGGACACTGTCCCATATATATCAAGAATATTTTACCCAAAGTACGAATTTCAGTTTTTTGTTATTGTTTCTTACGATAGAATATGTGTACTATGTCCATAAATCCACATACTGTTATTACCATAAACATAAAATTATTTTATATTTATTTTCACCTTCTGTCCTGTGCTAGTATTTCATCAATCACACATAAACAACCTTTAATAGTCCACTGCTGGACATAGGCCTCTCATTACAAAGGAGGTTTCGGCCCACTATACCACGCTGGCCAGACGGGTTGGTATAGGGTTTGTGTTAAGTTTTCCTTCTTTTTGCAGTGCTGGTGTCCTGCGTTGTTTCGTGCCCTTAGTCGGCTCTTACGACACCCACGGGATGAATTGGGGTAGTGATATTCCGTATTCCTAATCCGTCACTACACGGACAAGTAAACAATGAGTGCTAGTATTTAATGTAGTAATTTTCTTTTATTCGTTTTGCTATGAATAAAATGACCCTTGACCCAGACCGCGCTTCGACTTACATTTTTTATTTCTTCTAGTTATACTCGTATATCTAATTTAATGTTCGATTTGGGTGTTTTTATGTATAATATGTATGCATTTACAAAAAAAGTATAATTTATATCAGTTGTCTAGCACCCATAGTAAAATATCTGCTTACTTTGGGACTAGATGGCGTTTTGTGAATATGGTAGAACATTTATTATTATTAACACAATTATGTTTTTAATGACGTGGAGTAAGCATAAGTCTTTAACATTTCTTGGGTAACATCCATATTCATTAAATCGCTGTTAATATAACAGTGAGAAGCGACGCCCTAGCTATGCTGGGTATTCAGAAATGTCACCGTTGAATATTATTTCTACTTGTTGACTTGTTCTACTTGTTGTTATTGACGTGTTATCTTATCGCAGGGAGCAGCGGTGATGGACGGTAGACTGCGCGCGGGTGACCGGCTTGTCTCCGTGAACAACGTGTCGGTGTCCGGCCTCACACAACAACAAGTTGTCACGTTATTGCGGAACACGCCTACCGATTCTACTGTCGAAATTGTCGTCGAGAGACCGGCGCCTAATAGGACACAGGTGCGTTCTTCAATATTTTTTTTTTACTTTTTTAAATCTCTCTAAAATGCAAATCTATTGTGATTATGGCAATCTAGATACAAACTAATATTAAGATTTAGGGAACGTACCCATACCACAAGACCCTTTTTTTAAATTTTTACTTAGGTCCTCCTTTCTAAGGAGAGGCCTATGTCCAGCAGTGGACTAATAAAGGCTGTTGATGATGATGATGATGACGTAGGTCCTGGTGACCCTCCTTAGAATATGCTAAGACACCCTTCCCCTCTAGTTTTCACTTAATAAATCTTAAATATGGTTTGAAATCATTTTTTGCGAACAGAAAGTAAAAAAAAAATTGATTCATGTTGTCTTTATTAATAATACAGCGCTTGCCGGCGTGGTACCAAGAGTGCATACCTTTAATTATGTATACCTAAGACCTTTATGACCTTAAAATCTAAATGTTTTATACGCTGTCTTTTGCCATGCACTTAAAATCAAGGATGCTCTTAAGTCAGAGACCGAAAAGTGATAAGTATACTTTATTGTAATTCCAATTTCAGAGGGTAGAACCTCAACAAAGTCCAACTAAATACGTAGAAAAGGCGATCGGACCGCCGCCTCATTCAAACCCAGTGGAGAATAAATCTTCAGAGAACGGTCGCGTGTCAAGTATAGTGAACGCGATCAATCAGAACAGCGCGAATAGTTCGATGCGAGGGAGGATACCGAAGAGTTCGTCCAAGGATGATCTGCTCAACAAAGATCAGAGCACTGATAGTGCGTCAGATACGTTAAATACTTCCACTAGTTCTGTAAGTGTTTCACTTTTATTTGTTATTGTAACTTAAAATAACAGCAGCGCCCCAGGCAATTACGACCCAGGAGTAGGTTTAGGGAGTACTCCTTGTGACGTGTCAGCGCTCGCCCCCACTATCTGCTGTGTTACCTTCTCTGCCTAACCATATTGGATGTGATCCTAACAATTCCGCTTTGGATATTTGTTCAAGAAAAGAGCTTACTGAAGCTCTTGTTAATCCAAAGTCTTTAAACAGATTATAGAGAGACTTAGCTTACACCCCTTGCTCCCACTTCCACGGCATATACTGCAACAAAATAGCAAATTCTAGTTATTTCGTTGATTAAGTCAAAGTACTCACGAACTTCCTTTCTAAGGAAGGTCTATATTCAGCAGTCAATTACCAGAGGCTGTGATGATGATAAGTTAAAAAGCACGTATTGTTAAAAGTCTATAAATACTGTGTCGGAAACTGTATTATTACTAATTTAAACATATAATTTATGAATAATGACTATAATTTGTCAATTTGAGTTTCACAAAACACATAGGCCTTTCCACTTACTAAAACGTAAAAATGTCGTCGGTATTCTTTTAGTATTTTAAACACTTAATTATATTATTTGTTCTCTAGTTCCTAGGTCTTCGAAATCGACTTATACTCAGGCTAGATGTACCAGTGCACGACAGTGAGAAGGCCGGCCTTGGCATCAGTGTCAAAGGCAAAGTCACGGTGGGACCCGACCCACAGGACTTGGGAATCTTCATCAAGAGTGTGCTGCATGGCGGCGCTGCGTCTAGAGATGGGAGGTGCGTTTGCCATTCTTTTGGTTACTTAATTTTTATATTTTATAATTTAGTTTAAAATGCAATATAGTAATTTGAAAAACTATAGTGTATACATATATTTCATGAAGTAGAAATGAGAACGTACTAATGACATGATTTCATAGATGAACAAATTCCTGCTAGATACAAAAACGTATTTTCAAGGAGAACGTTATTATGTATGTGTATAATGTTATATTAAATATTAACCTTGTCGCTCTTAAGATTCTCAATCCTTCTTAAAAATCGTGTTCAGTATAAAACCAATGTTTTTGTTTTCAGATTACACACAAACGACCAACTCTTGAGTGTGAACGGCGTATCGCTCGCAGGACAGAGTAACGCAGAGGCTATGGAAACATTACGTAGAGCTTTATTACACGCACCACCACAAAGATCCGGTAGCATAACGCTGACCATTGCGAGGCGGACCGACAGCATGGACAGCCTGGCGAGGTGGAAAGACGACACACCACCTAACGGCAATGACACTACCAACTCGAACGACAACTCACAAAACTTTAACACTGTCATATACACAGCCGGTAATGAAAAAGAGAATAAACCTGTAGATAATTTCCCACCCAAGTATGATTCTAACCAAAACGAAGGCTTCGATTCTCACGATGGCCGATCCAGTAAAAAACACGCATCAATAGTCACTATAAATAATAATACTAGCTGGGTTTCTAACCAATCAGATGACAGTAAAGGCTATCTAGAAAGAGAAAAAGACGCTATTCCTCATGATAACAAGCGAGACAGCTTTGAGTGGAGTCGTTTAGATGGATGGAATCCTGTGATAGATCGGCTAACGGGCTTGAGGAACGAGAGTTATTATATGGCGACTCAGACTGATGCACCGGTAACCAATGGACATCACTATAGGCATAATTTAGGTCATGTGCACATGTCGCGGTCACCGCCAGCACATCATAATGTTATTATTGAAGAAGATTATGGTACTACGAGGTAAGTTTTTTGTATGCATTTCATTTAACTTTTGACATCTGACTACATACCCACCAATAGAATTACCCTCTAATAGATAATCGTGCAGTGGTTGGTGGCGTGACCTCTATGATAATTTTAAGTGAAATATAATAGAAAGATATTCTTCTTATCCAGCTTAGTAAATCTCACTTCTTACCCCCACCCTCCTCCCTCCCCCTCTGTCTCTGCTTAGCAAAATTTATTTAAACGTTTTTGTCATATGTCAGGGGTAGCGGCAGTGGTTGCGGTGGGGAGTCTGGCAGCGAGTGCGGGGGCGCAGGGTTCACCCGAGACGCGGTGGGCCGACGGTCCATGTCTGAGAAGCGCCACGCCGCTCTCGATGCTAAGCACACCGGTACCTACAAGAAGATTAAGGAGATCAAAGCAGTTAACGGTACCATATGTTACAAATTACAAATAGCGTACACTACTTAAATCAAGCATTCTAAAAACTAACTAACTGTGCTTCTACTAATAAAAATAATTTTATGATAATTCGCGTTTTCCTATTTTTACGATTGACGATTCTGACAGGCTTTTCTTTTAAGATATGTATTAGTTAGTAATTAAATGAACTGTTGGTATTTTAGTTATGTAAAAGACAGACAGTATACACATTCTTTGCTGAATTTTATTACTATCATGTATAAATTAAATGCTTTGCCAAGTGTTATAGATTACAATTATTATATAAATACAACAATTACAGCAATGCAAGTGGGACCTTCACTGGGAATGCGAAAGTCTTCAAGTTTAGAATCACTACAAACGGCCATACAAGAAAACCAAAGGAATCCGCGTAACGAACCTATTTATGCGCGTGCGCACCCACGTAAGTGTAGTAGAAAATCAATGGTGTTGGGAACCAATAGATATAGCTACTGCTCTTTTCCATTAAAATTTGTTAGGTATTCCACTAAAAAGTATATTTAACTCGATCATTCCTTACATTATCTATTATAATAGAACTAAATTCGCACATGATGTTTGTAATTAACTTTTATAATACTTTGTCTCACAGTAATCATGTATTATTACAATCCAATATTTTACCATTCTGGTGAAGAACTTTATACCACTGAACTTTATATTTATATATATTTCCAGTGAAACCAAATGTTTGGTTTAATTTAAACCACACTCAATGAGTAAACAAAACGACCATTCACTAACCTGACCCTTCGCAGTAATCATTCCCTTTTAACCTTTACGTTCATTGTAAACCAGTGAGTGAGAATAATATAAATTGTTACAGCGTTAAAGCACTGGTTGACGGACGACAACAATGGGCCGGACATAATAAGGGGCTCGCCACAACAATCCTCACTGTCGCACAAAAAACCCTCTATATTAAAGTCATTATCAACTATGTTTAGGTATGTATTTGCAATTTACGCAATACTTTTTTTATTTTGCAAAGATTATGTTTGAATTGCTTCTTTTTTAACAATAAAATTTAACTAATCATATAAGGTAAGAGTTTGAAAAATATCGTAAACTAGCAGAAAGCATGAATCAAAATGATATCTTGAAGATTATTTTTCTTAATAATGTAATTTTTGTATGTGTAATGTAAAAAGTGTAATAATTTAAGGCGAATCTAGTAAAGAATATGATTGCTACTGATATTTAGGATTCATAAAATGGTGAAAATTATGATAAGACGTAGTAGTACATACAACATTTTGTATTGAGCTAAAATTATGTTTTTTATAAAAAAGCACAAATATAACGGTGAATTATAGCGTCAATTTTAGAGTCAAAGTAATGTAAATGTTTGTAGAATTAAACTGGTTCTGTTTTAGACAGCCGTGTGCCACTTCAGGTCTAGTGAATAGTGTTTAGTATGTACAACATACTTTCGGTATTGTCCATATACATGAAAATATTTATTTATTAATAGAATAGGCAAGCCACACAAGAAAACAGAAGGCGATATATACGGAAGATCACAACCTGGGAGATCCTCAGAAAAGTCGTTATCAAGAGAAGCGCTAGAGAGGCATAGCAGAATAGACGAGAGGGAGAAAAGTGAAGAGAACCAAACACAGCCGCAAAGGTATTTCTACGCATTTAATTTGAAATACAACAAATAAAAACGAAAGTAATTAAGTATTACATTATTGTAGACTTGTGCTGTGATTTGTAGCTTAACTGAAGATACCTTTGTGAATGAGTCAGAAGAAAAAAATATTTTACAACGTTTATTAGCTTTCTGAGTATCTGTTTTGATTTCCTTTTCATTGCGTTGTATATTTAAATAGTCCATTCGCGTTTAAACACGCTGTAGAGTAAATTGAGGTATCTATATATTAATACGTGAAGCGAAAACTTTGTACCCCTTTTAAAGAAAATTTCGAGAACGGATGAACGTGATTTTTTACACAGTTAAAGTTTATATGGAGAAGAAGCTATTTTTTTAATATAAAATGCCTTAGAAATACATTAAATTATTTAAAGTAAACATTATACACACTACTGACTCGGTGGTGCAGTGGTAGCGTATGTGACTGTTGTGCTGAGGTCTCGGGCTCGATTCCCAGGTCGGAATATTTGTTTCGGAGTTTGGGTGTTTTGCATGTATGTATTTACAAAAAAAAAGTATATTAGTATTCTATCGGTCATTCTAGCTTTCATAGAAAAAGCTCTGCTTAGTTTGAAACTAGATGGCGTTGTGTGTCATATGTCCGGAAATATTTATTATTTTGATTACTGTTTAAATGACACACCACATACACACATATATACTTACTCTTTTGTTCATAATTAAGATCTATGGTCAAACTGTAGGTTAATTTTATAATAAATGTAAGGGGTTAAACTATGAAATTGCCAATTTGTACTGAAAAATTGAAACTTGTATTTTTCCAAGATATAACATATTTGTATAACCAAAATATTAACCCTCATTATCTATACATTGCTGCTATCTAAACGGAAGTTCATTTAGGCCTTTACGATAGAACTCTGGGGATCTAGATTCGACAAACTGTGTGAAAGCATTTTGTACTGCCTCCTAGGAAGAATTTATTTATGACGTAGAAAATTGTATAAATCACGAAAAAAATATGGCAGTCCGTTGGTGCAAGGTCTGGCGAGTACGAAGGATGACGTATGGTTCTTGTAGCTCCTGTAGAGTTACAAGGGTTTCTCGTGCACTGTGAGGTTTTGCGTTATCATGAAGCAATAATGGTGAAGATCGATTCACGAGTCGGGGCTGTTTCACTGCCAGTTTCGCCATCATCGTTCGAAGTTCAGCACAGTAAACATCTGCTGTTATTGCCTGACCAGAGCTGAGAAAGCTATAATGAATAACACCATGATGAGACTACCAAACAGTTACCATTACCTTTTTATTGGTAAACAGTTACCGTTACCTTTTTAGGGCACTGTTGCGTCGTTTGACCTGGAGTCAGCCATTGCATTTTTCACTTACGGTTATCGTAAACAATCCACTTTTCATCACATGTCACAATTCGATCCAATATTCCTTAATTTATGTACCGATTCAACAAGGCAACACAAGTTTTAACACGCATTTATTTCTGCAGATGAGTCAAATCATGAGGCACCCATTTTTCATATTTTTTATCTTATTGTTTTTAAGCAAATTAGTCAATATTGTAGGTGTAGGGAAACGTTAAACCATGCCGCTAATGCCTGGGTAGTTTGACTCGGATCGGTTTCCACCATCTTCAATTTAGCGTTATTCACCTGTGTGAGTGGTCATCCACGTGGTTCGTGCTTCAAGTCGAAGTTTCCATTACGAAAGCGTTTAAACGCACTGTGTTAGTAGTCTCCTCTCCAAACACAGCGTTGACGTCTAAGCTATATAAAAAAATAAACAATTGAAAGTCGAAAATCGAATGTTGCCCTTTTTTTGAATGAAGAACCTCATAGGTATCATGGTTGTGAAAAAACTTTAATACGAAAATCTCACACCATGAAGGTTTTATGTCAATTCAAAGTATCTATTACTATACAACGGAAATTACATACTTTAACCCCTATTATAATATATAATGAAACCTTTGATTATAGAAGTATATAGTCTTTGACAAAAGATGCCTAATAAAGTTCAAACTTAAAAATTACACGAATTATGGTCGAATCGGGACCAGTAGTTTTTATGAAATACGTGTGTTCGCAGATCGGAGGCGGCGCACTCGCGGCAGGGCAGCAGCAGCAGCCTCGCCAAGGAGCGGCGCGCGCCGCCGTACCGCGCGCCGCCGCCGCAGCACCACCAGGTACCGCGCACCGTCCATACTTCCTCATTACTCTTTAATCTATCAGTATCATTGTACTGAACGTCAACACGATCGGTAGTTTTGTATTAAATACTATGGCGTGACGTCATACCTAGTTATTGTCAATCATCTATATTTTATGTTTACTTGAAGAGGTCAAACCATAAAAAATGTAAATTAATAATAAAGACAATTCAGGCTGTACTTCGAGATGTATATTTAATGCTTTAGGCAACATAATTTATTTTAAACTTAGAATTTATTTCTAACCTAGATGTTATCTATCTAATTTTACCCTATTTCTAACATACCTATTTATAAATTTATTTTCTTAGCAGCAAGCTATGGACAGTGCGTGGGGTCCTACAGGTCACTATGTCAACTATGAAGAAATACAACAAAATTTAAAGTGAGTCATATGTTTATTTTGTCTAAAATTGCATCCCGAACTAACAATTTACCAACATATATTTGTGTTAACCCTTATGGGTTCATAATTAGTTACTAATAAATAAAATGTAAATGATTAGAAAAGTACCGTTTCGTAATAAATAAAGATTCGACTATACTACTATATTAAAACCCCTAAAACTAAAATATAATATAAATATGCATGAAAATAACCATTACTTAAAAATACGTTAGTGTATGTATCTATTAATAACATCGAAAACTACTTGTAGTAATTACAATGCTGTCGTGTTTAGTACTGCTGAAAATTCGGTCGACCCGATATTGTTAAAAAATCTCAATTGACATGTTAACATGCTTTTGGAATGAAGTCGCCTTACCCGGCCGGAGACAGAAAAGAGATAGAAGTAAGCAAATATAAATCGTCACGGAATGAAAACGCGTTGTGCCCTCTCCGTGTAACTTTCTCTCTATATCTTTTTAGTATTTTAAAAAGTCTGAGAATGTGCGAAAGGAAACTTAGTTACTGATGGGAGTCACCCGTCTGCATATTTTCGTATTTTTCCTACGATACTGAATTCATTATTATTCATGATATATTTTATTTAGTAAGTATGTGTTTCGTATATAGTAGTACATCTTCATAATTCATAAATTATGAATACGTCATATACGAATATGTCATAACATTAATTACAACTCATTACTCATTACAAAATTTGAAGTATTCAAGTATTGTAACGTACTTAGAGACGACATCTATGACGTCCAACACAATTCTACTGTGTTAAATATTTGATTTTAACTATTTCAATTTCTCTTTATGATTATGATTAAGTAACATGAATCGAAACGTCCTTAAAACAATAAGTAATTTACAAAGTAATGACATATTTGCAGCGCGCGTCGCGAGAAGTTGAGCGAAGTACAGATAGGACAAATGAGGCGCCAGGTCAGCGCGCAGAGAGCTAAAGCTGAGGAGGAGAGGTGAATATCATAACTTCTTGCTACCTAACGCTTATAAACACGTTTAAATACATGAAATTTAAATTAGAATGTTACGAGGATCACTCTGAAGGTTTAAAACAAGTTAGCAAATTACAAATTTCATCAAAGTACGTTGACCTTTTCTATCTGGTGCCCCATGTCGCGTAAATTTAATGCAAATTTAATTAAAACGAAATGTGAATTATTATAATTATTAATACATTACATAACAGTTTTTTGCTGATATTTTACTACTGTAAAGGATTTTGTTGAATTGCATCCTCATTATCAAAAAAATCGAAAAACATATGCACGATTAGCAACATTCGTGGTGCTAGCGGTTGATCACTACACCCGAGTCGACAGAGCTAAATCACTGACACTAACTGGATCCTAAAAAGTCTTGTAGTAGTGACTTCCACCCATGGTTGTAAATGAACATAACTTACTCGATGAATAGTGAAGTGAGTCAGTTATAACCTAACTAGAAAGTACTAGAAACTGTACTTAGGTCTTTATTTTTTAATGTCTTATAAATCTTTGGTTTCTAAGCAAATAAACACGTTTTTGTAAAATAGAGGTGTTTATTGGTAGTGGACCTGACTATAACCTTTCAGTTTCTTTTTTAACCTTTATAAACACAGATGCTGGTTATCTTTCTAGGACGCAAAGTGTTATGATGTTTAACTTAACCATATTTAGGCATTCATATGAGTTGTGTACACAACAAGTGTTACAAAAAATACTTATCCACTTATTGATTTTCTACAATCTTCAGTGAGATCTTCGTAACAGTATCGGCAATAGTCAAGATGAACAAATTTTATTTTTAATGTCTTTCGAATGTTTTTTTAGTGTAACAGTATTTATTTATTAATTAAACTGTTATTGTAACTAATAGTGTTGAATTTTTATTAATATCTCACAATGGATATGACGTCCCACCACCTCATAAATCCTCCGATAATGTTTTATACCTATTGTAAAGTACCTGTCTAACTTTTTGAACTGATGAAACTAGACGGACTTTGTCTCTAGTTTTAAAATAAACATGCAGTCAATAATCATATAAAAATAGTTAAATAGACGTATTACAACTTAATATATTTTTGGTATTGGTCGTTCGAATATGCATTAGTTAGTTCCAAAATGGGAGCACGTTAATTACACTGAAAAAATGCGAAACAATGTCACAGAGATAAGCAGTATTCAGCACATAACTCTATACTATCTGTAATTATTAAACTGATTTAGTTTTTATTTCCCTTTCCAATATATGATGGACGTTGGTAAGATGCATGTGTTTCGTAAGATTGCTATAGTTAAAATGTAGAACTAAAATTCCAAGGTTCCAATCTCGAAAAAGATAGTAAATGCCTTCGTTGGCTCTTACAATGACTCAAATGTTCAAATAGATTAAAAAATCATAGGAAGATTTAATTAAATGAGAATGAGCGGTTGCGGTTGCGGAGCGAACCCAATGTAGCCGCATTTCTGTTAGCTGTGTTATAGAAATTGTTCTTAAACCATATTTAAGAGGAAACACTTTTCGTAAATCCGTAACAAACGTCGCACATATTATAATAAGTAATAAAAAATACATGTGGGTATAAAAGAGTATAACGTCGTTTGACGTGCCAAACAAGTAAAACTTTATGACGTGAACATGGAACCTTGGAATATTTAATAAATTATACAAATGTTGCTTATAGTATTTAGTCGTACATTAAGACAATTATCTTCTCTATGTAGCGAGCCATTTTTTACATTCTACCTTGCTGTTTTTTTTTATTTCAAACAATTAAGATAATTTAGAATTCAACAATTAGTCACGTAATTTTCCTATTCATCACGATAGAATAACGCTTGAAATTGTAATTACTGTAACTATTCAAGTTATTATTACACAGCTTATAGAAAAAATATTTAAGTTTTACATTGACAATTTAAAAACGACAAGTTTTTAGTTTTAGTTTAAGACAGCTTACTCCTATGACAAGTAAACGAAATTCTTAGTTTGATATTTGAAAATAGCTTTTGAAACTCACAAACACTTTTTGTAGCTGGTTTTTTTTGTGTCTTGGTTGTCTATTGAGAATTGCAATAGTAAAATGATTATTTAATCAGAAGCTTCTCATGAACAATGTTTTAAGACGTAGACATGAGGTAGCATTTCTTTGCCCGCTTTATATTTTTCTGTGTCGTATATGAAGTTTTACTTACAACAATCGAACAATACTACAACGCAAGTTCGACTTATCTTAACGAGAACATATTTTTTCTTAATCGAGTTTGTCAATATCATATTTAAACTTTTTAAAATTATACCGCTGACTTCCGTAACAAATATAAATGTTTGCTCAAGGATCGTGACGGTTATTGTAAATTTACACAACCTTGACTTAATTGTCTTGACTTGACTTAATTGTCCGTGTGGTGACGGATTAAGAATACAGAGTGTCACCACCCCTATTTATCCCGTGGGTGTCGTAAAAGGCGACTAAGGGAAACTACGCAGGACAACAGCACTGCAAAGAGAAGGAAAACTTGACACAAACCCTATACCAACCCGTCTGGCCAGCGTGGTGTAGTAGCCCACAACCTCCCTTTTAAGGAGAGGCCTATGTATGATGGCCTAAGCAGTGGACTAGTAAAGGCTGTTGATGATGATTATGATGATGACTTAATATAACGGTTTATATATTTAGCTTCAAACTAAATTTAAGTAGATATAACTTGGAATTGCCAGTAGTGCGTCACCCTTAGCTAATGATTTGAGCCTTGTTTGGGCAAAATTTAGATATAGATATTGTTACATCGTCTTATTCCTTGCCAAATGTCATGAGACTGAAATGTGTGCCTTCACACTGATATCAAAATGTTATTCTCATTTATGGCCTTATTTATTTAAATCTGAAAACAAGCAAGAATAAACTAATGGAAAAAAATAAAAACTTTTTCAAAATAATACAATTAAAATTTAATAAGTTAATATTAGATAGATTCAGGTTCAATCAATTCTCTGTGTCTGATTCAAGTTAACAAATTACTGCTATTATTCACTACACTTTCAGTTCAGTTAGATTTTTTTTACGGCTATCCAAGCTTGAGCATATTTAATATAAATTTTGTAAGATAATAGAAGTTTTGTATCTCGTGTTAACTAATGTGTTTAAATGCACAGTCGTCGGGCAGGCGCGGGTGGCTTCCACTCACAGCGCTCCTGTAGGGAGGGAGGCATTCGACCACAGTCTAACTACTACGAGTACGAAACTGCCCCGCCCAGGAGGCCTGGCAAACTCTCGCACTACCACTGAAGAACGAATAACGTCCCAATATTTATCCATTCACTCAAGAAACACGGGCCTTCTCTGGATCCATGAATGGCTGGTAAATGAAACTCCTATTGTTTTTCATTTTACATGTTGATTTATATCAAACCTTTAACTTCAGAGCGACAATTGGATTCAGTGTAATGCAGTCGAAGTAATTAGATGAAATACAGATCTACCGATAGTTTTATTCTACATGAAATTTGTATTTCTTATCTAACAGAAAACGACTTTGCACCTACACTAGGCCTCAGTAAGTTACCGGCTTTAGTAAATTCATATTGGATTTTTAATGTTTTGATATATATTTGTGGATTTAATTTGTTCGTGCTATTTTGCAAAAAGGTAATCACCAAACATTGTTTAACATTGTTCTTAAGGTGGCCTATGTGAAACAAAAATGTAAAGAACACATTTGAACATTTACTAAAGACGACGATAGGCCTCCACGGTAGTTAGTCGAGGTATTAGATCTCATTATAATTGGCGATAAAGCAAATTTTACATCGCTTTATTAGACTTTAGTATTCAAATCTCTGTCGATTTCGTAGTGATTAGTCATTCTTAGTGCCTTTTCTGAGACTGTAATCTTGTGATTGTGTTGTTATCATTATCTCAAGATTTATTCAGGCTTGTGAATGTATGTAAATTAATTTAAATTAAACTAGATATTTTTTTTCTAAGTAGAAAACAATCATCATTATTTACGTTTTTGCTAAAAACAAAATAATGTATTCTTTTCATGTATAAAACGTTGGTGTTTTTATACATTAATATGTACTTACTAAACAAGCTCCACAACCCGCTGTCGGTAACGTCCTCAACGCAGTGGTGCCGAGAATGTTACTGATAATCGCACTTTGTGACACATTTTATATACCAGTCCTTTATCTTAATGAGTGATTGTGATATTGGTTATAGTTAATTCAAAAGTAAGTATATAACCTACTTATACTGAGACTAAATTTTTGTAGAACGGATAAAGGAGTAAAAAAACCGAAATAATTTTTTGTACTTTGTTTTTAAAGTGTTTATTTATAATTACTTGTAGTTTTTGCTACATGAAAAATAACAATAAAGTGACGGTATTGTACCTGCAGGCTGTAGTCCGAAGGTACAGTACCTATATGCATTAAATTTAAATTAAAAAAATATCCCTAAAAATCCAACTAAAAGTTAATAGTTGACAAGCCAAGCTATTTAAAACTACAAATTTTCTTCCATCAAAACGATTAGATCTTTTCTATTCCGTTTCTTTTGTTACACGATACCTAAAACTTTTGTAAACTCAGATTCTATTGTTGAAGATTTATTGATGACTTATTTTGAAGACGGCATTTAATTTCGTGTATAATAATTATTCAGCTATCCAACTATTAGTTTACAAACTTTTGTTTTAAACAAAACATTTCATAAATAGCGATTACGAAAAAAGGTACCTAAAAAGGCAAATGTAAGTTCTACATTTATTTGATTTTTTTAACACAATATATGAAGTGTTTCTTTTAAGGTTTTTCTAAACGTTAATATTATTCATCACGTACCATACAGAAAGTTGTGGTATTTTAGGAGCGTATCCCATAAATATTTTTTTTTTGTATTTGTAGTTGTTGTAGTTGTCCCAAGATATCGACCCCAAGGGGTATCGACAAGTTTGGGAATCCTTGGACTATACGATCCTAATTTATGAACCACACCTTTCTGTAACACTGTATATTCTAATCAGTGGATGGCTGCACCAACATGCCTAAATGTCATGCATGGCATGTTTAGATGTCAAACTTTGGTGTCGTGAAATGGTTATTAGGCCGTCAATTAAGTATCTATAAATAATATAACTATGAAAGTCTCAGCTACATATTTATGAAAAATTTGGAATTGATTTCGTATCCATGTTCTGTGGAAGGAGGACCCCTTTAGTCTTGTAAGGGAATTCTTTTTTGTAATGACAAAATTCGCAAATAAAGTACAACAGTCGCATCAGAGAGGGCAGTTACTGGTACTTAAACTTGCTAACTATCTCATCTTAGTATTCAATCCCAATTCGTAATAGAAGTCATCCTTGCTCTTTTTTTTAACTTTTATGTGTATTGAAATGTGTAAATCGGGACTTAGTAGCGACCATATTAATAACGTACTATGTATTTTTGTTTTATTTGAAGAGATTTTTTTCACCAGAGAAAATGTGTAAATTCACTTTTTGCGAAAAAGGTCAACATTTTTTTCTTCATAATTCTTTCAGAATTGCTGGTAGTTAAAATAAGAAGCTCTTTGCAAATGTACCTCTTTAATAGTATTTTTTTTAGAAACGGTCAATGACTAAAGTGCTGTGTAGATAGTATTTCCTTAACTCTCAGATGTTTTCTGTAGTAGATGTACATTCCTACAAGACTTACATTGTTGTAAGTTTTATAAAAGAAGCTTTAAAGTGTAGACTAGATTTATAGTTAAGTTTATTGAAATAAATCTGATAAAGTGTGACTGAATAATTTATATTATCACTGAAATTGTAATTATTTGTAACGTAATTATGTATGTAGAGATTTTGTAGTCTCCAATGCAACAATTAAACATTAAACAATATGTTCAGACTGTATTAACTCGATTTCGTAATATTTTTATTTCATATTTTTGTGATATCTATCTTTATTTAGTGGCTACCCTATACGGGCTTGGTAGTGATATGAATAAGATTATTATTAGTTACATAATGAAACACATGTAGACATTTTTCAGTGTATATATAATATGTAAGTGTTCTACGAGATTAGTTTTGTATAGACAGAGAGAAGTAGCTTTTATATTTTCTTCAACTTGACTTTTATTTAGTTCAATGAACAAGTTGTTTAGATATTAATCACATTGCAAATGTATATTTGCACCTAAGTGCCCATAATTTGTACATATTTACACATTTGCTCGTACTCACATCGACAGTTTCTCCAAGTCTCAAGTTATCTCTTTCCTTATAGATTGAGATAGATTAACGATAGAGGTTTTTAAACTGTCCTTGTGTTTATCGACCATTTTATAACAAGTCAAAAATATCATAATCTTCTATTTAATGAAATATTCATCTGTTTAAATAGAAGAAGATGGTACAATGAATTACATTTATACATTTCGGACATTTAATGTATTTAAAAAATAAAAGAAGTGCTATTGTCTATACTATTATTTTTCCCTTACAAACACCTAAAGAGTTTTTAACGTAGTAATAGTAGTAATATTAAAAGGTAAAGCATCATAGTTATCGCCATCTTTTACCAATGTTTTGTGGCGTCGCGTCGTGGCAATGAGTAATAATCGAAACGCTTTTGCCGAACCCCCTTGAGAATGCAATCGTTTTCAGACAGGATAATTGGGGTACGAAAACGGGTAGGAGAGGCAGCTGTGGCAAGCTTGAATGGGTAGAGGAGCCAATACTACAGTAGCTCGAAGAGACTAAGGTTGAGTAACCATATTTCCGTCCTTTTGGTGAAAAAACAGCAATAACACCGTCAGAACACGTAACTGCTCTTATACAACAGTTTGGAAGACTCAAAACGATATCTAGTAGGTATCTGAATATTTTACTTTTCTCCCTCCGAGTCTTACACCCAAACCAGATTAGGGTCGGCTTTAAGTCAGGTACGGCTGAACTGCCATTAGTAATAGGCGATATCGAAATTCTGTGGAAAGATTTGTCGGACTTTTGAGGGATCCAACTACCCGTAACGATTGCCACAGATGTTCGTATGGCAGCCGGGACCGACGGCTTAACGTGCTCTCCGAGGCACGGAGGGGTTTCAATATGTTAAGAATGGTCACCTATCAATAAACTCAACTGGCTAGGATTGCTTACCTTTGCAATGTGTTAACGTACTCGGTTACCACTTAGCCACGAGCCCCCACCCGAATATTTTACTATGACTATCAAAGTAGTGTAGTAACTATATAATAGATTTAGGATTTGTGTGGTAAAAATTTGCGGTGAGTCACTTTATCTTAATTTAACTAAAGATACCAATAGACAAAAGTCCAGTCATCTAAGTCAAAATTAGGTAAGTATCTCTGAATTTGAGATACCCAGCTATAAACTAGTGTTTTGAGATCCTAAAAGTTGTCTCGAAACGTACGTATGGTAGGGTGTACGCGACTATTAAAATCCAAGGCCAAAGTTAACAAAAGTTTTTTGCAAATTTTTAAAATTATCTCGTTTCCTATGGATCATGTCTATGTTTTTTGCTGTTTGTATTTATTATCAATTTTGTGGAGGATTAAATTCCTATAACCGTTTCAAAATTTTTTTAAGCGCTGAATCTATTTCGAAATATAGGGCGGAGAGCGCGCGGTTAGAGCATCATTTAAGGTCAGTCATCATGTAAGGTAGTCCCGGTCAAAAACACGCTATATAAAGTTGATTAATTATTGATAAATACATAAATATTCATAATTTTCATTTCTAGATAGAGATATTTGCAAAAAAATGTGCAAAGAATCGATTTTTGGATTTTAATAGTCGCGTACAGGGTGTACCATATGTAGGTTTTGAGACAACTTTTAGGATATCAAAATACAAGTTTATACGAGTTTATAGCTGGGTATCTCAAATTCCAAGGTGAACTTACTAACATGACTGGATTACAAGTTTTGTGTGTTTATGGCTCTGCGATCCGAATTTCGTTAATACCTATTTTTTACTTTGTTAAATATTCGTCGAAATTAATTAACAATCCTTTCATTTTACGAATTTAAAGAGCAAGTGTAATCTTTAACCCGTTCTGAAAAAGTCTTTTTCATATTTCTCTTTGAATGAGTTGAATGACGCTGAGGAGCAAAAATGAGCGATTGTTTATAAATTTCGGATCCGGAATTGGTCTTAAACCTTGTCGGATATTCTGTCAAATCACCTTGGCGTGTTCCGACTACATTTGAAAGATCTAATTCCTATGATGTCGGAGCTTCTTACTCCTAAATAACTTTTGTACGAAGCGAGTCACGCG